AGACCACAGGTGCGGCACGGTACGGTATGGTTATCGCCACCAGTGCGGTTTTTATGGGACGGGAACTGCTGTACCGCGTATAAAATGGAGTAGGGGGAAGGGCACGGTGTACACGCAATGACAGAACATGGTGTATCGACGGCAGTGTTGCTGTACTGCTGCCGAAAGATGAACCGATAAGCGGAAGTATATATATATGTATATATCGACATGCTGCTACGGTTGTTTGCCCCTGCCTGATGTAAGGTGGAAGCTGACCGATTCTGTCATTTAGTCTCGCTTGAGAGGTGTAGGTGTTTAGCGCTGTTGCTGTCCTGCAAGACTCCTGCCACTTGTGATGTCATCAGTGCTAGTACCACGAGGTGGTTCTCTGCTGAACTCTTTTATACTGGTCGGAACTGCGTGAAATGTGCCACGTTTGGTTCTGTGCCTTGCAGATGCAAAACCCATGTGTAGGGCAGAACACATTTTAGGCGGTGGGGCCTTTGCAAGTGTGCCGAGGACTTTCAGCACCGCGCACCGCGAAAATCGTGGCCATTGCAATACATGCCCCCGAACCCGCAAACCCGAACAACCTTACTACGATAGCGTCCCTTCCTATTGCTACTCTCTCAAGTTACACTCTCAAGAACCGAAGCGTTGCTCCTGTCCTGTTGCTGTCTGCGGGGGGAACGCACTACGGTTGGCAGGCTGTACAAGCCGTCCGACAAGGTTCCTCGGTTGGAGTACCTTCGGTTGGACCTGCCCCTTCTGCTCGCCGTTGCGTCCCTCATGGCGTTCTGCCTCGCCGTGTTCCTGTCTGTGGAGCACTCGGTTTCGATGCTCATCAACACGCACGGGTGAGCGCGGGAGATGAGCGACATGGCCGGCGGGCGTTCGGGGGTTGGGGTGGGGTGGGGCGAGGTCGGGGAGGGAGCATCTTCGAGTGCGACGTTGTTCAGGCCAGGAACGGATTCCTATCGGTCATTCCATAAGGCATCACGCGCTTGTTGCAGTCTCCACGTTCGGAGTACCGAACTTCCCGGGGGCTCCGTACAGAACCAGTTGTTTGGGGCATGCGAAGATCAGCACGTCACGGCATGTGACCCATTTCCTTGGTCACAGACTTTACCACCAACACACACACACACACACACACACACAATTGACAACGCGAGGGTTCCGAAGGTTGAGCCTTCGAGAATGACATGTATGAACACGGCTGCTCATGAGTCACCCCCCCCTCACCAGGAGAAGAAGTTAACTGGGGTAGTTTAGTGGGCTGAAAATGCGGGAAGTGATGTCGATAGGATAGGGAACAACATTTGTTATTCACTGTTGGCCATGTCGGCAAAAACGATTGGCCTTCGGTAGTTGCTCCTGTGGGAACCATTCTCCGTCTTCTCGAGGACGCACGCTCAACGGTCCAAGAACTTGGGCATGCAAAACATGAATACCTCCCCCCTCCCCCTCCCCCCTCGCCGCGCGTTTCTCCAGCTACGACGACCCCCTTCCTCTCTGCGAGACTCCCAGCGGGTGGGAGTGGTCCGGGGCGGGGAAGGCTTCGTGGGGTTTGCTAGGAGACGTCTCTGTGAGAGCCGAGAAGAAAGTGGGGCTACCGGCAGGGTTTTCGGGGTGAGACATAATTCTCATTTTCCTGGTGTTGTGTTGCACGTCGTATCCATCCGCGTTCACCGCTCCATCCCAGGCGGGAGGAGCTCTGGTTGGATCGGCTACGGTCTGAAGTCACGCCTCTAGCGGTGTCATCTATCCTCGCTGAGACGGAGCAAGAAGCCAAAAAGCGTGCCATCACGCCAATCGGCATCGTAGTATGACGACGGATAAATGAGACAGCAGTGGCATTTTTTTCTGTAAGGTAATTCCGCCCCGAGGACAGAACAGTGGCAACGCTGCTTGAGGGATGGTTAAAAACCTCCCGCCGTTGTTACAAATAATACATTGGCGCGGCACGCCGCTGTCACGCTCGTCGCTTGTCAACCGGGCGGCACACAACAAGGCGCTCGCCCGCGCTGCTCCGGTGGCGTGTTGCCGCGCATCCCGGTATGTTCCAGTGTTACATGCGCACACCCTTCTTCCCTCCCTCCCTCCCTCCCTCCCTCCCTTCATCTCTATCCCCATCCTTCCCTTACTTACTCACTCACTCACTCCTTCCCTCCCGTGTGTGTCGTGTGTGTTTTTTGTTCTACTACAATCGGTCGAACTCCTCTCGCCGAATAGGAACAGAGGGGTTTCCGTTGCTTCCACTTCGGACATGTACTCTGCGGAGTCGGGGTTCGCGAACAAGATCTACGAGCGAACAGACTCGGGCCAATACGCAGACCTGTATGCCAACCTGGGTGAATAGGCTTGTGTACTTTTGCCCCCCCAGGATGCAGCGCACCCTTCATGCGACTCGCCGAATATCTCACGGCGCTTCGCGCTTGGTGATGTGAGAGCCTGGTCCGGTGAGAACCCGGCGTGCTCCGTCCCGGCTTGCGACGTTTGCGAGGTCAATGGTCTAACGACTACGGCATGCACGACTATGAGTACACCCCC